GATCCCATTTTTATTTATCTTAAATTAGTAAGAATCAGATTTCCTTTTCTTTGTCTAATTATTGAGAATTAGATCTCTTGTTTGCTTGCCTAGTTATTTAGATTTTTTTTTTGTTACATGTTGGATTGATTAGTTATTTAGATTTTTTGTTACTAACGCGCTCACAACTCGCCATTTGCCATGCACCCAGGAGATACAAAGATGAATTTAAAAAACAACACTTTTGGTGGAAGAGCATGAAGAGGGACGTGGCCGCGTTTGTGAGCAAGTGCTTAGTTTGTCAACAAGTGAAAGCTCCTAGATAAAAGGCGGAGGGGTTGTTGTAGCCCCTAAGCATACCAGAGTGGAAGTGGGAAAACATAGCAATGGATTTCATAGTAGGATTACCCAAAACACACAAAGCTTATACAGTGATCTGGGTAGTTGTCGATAGGTTGACCAAATCGGCACACTTCCTACCTAGGAAAGCTACATATACAGTTGACAATTGGGCACAACTGTATGTGAAAGAAATAGTAAGACTACATGAAGTCCTAGTGTCTATAGTGTCGGATCGGGATTCACGCTTTGTGTTAGCGTTTTGGCGCGGACTTCAAAAAGCACTGGGTACCCGCCTCGATTTAAGTATCGCCTTCCACCCCCCAAACAGATGGACAAACGGAGTGTTTAAACCAAATTCTAGAGGACATGTTATGTGCTTGAGTTCTAGATTTTAAGGCAAGTTGGGATTTCAAACTCCACCTGATGGAATTCTCGTATAATAACAGCTTCCAAGAAACTATTAGAATGGAACCATTTGAGGCCCTGTACGGAAAACGGTGTAGGTCCCCACTATGTTGGGACGAAGTAGGCGAGAGAGAGTTAGTAGGACCCGAGCTGGTTTGACTCGCCAATGAGGCTGTCTAGAAAATTTGAGCGAGGATGCGTACCGTTCAAAGTAGAAAGAAAAGCTACACCAATATAAGGCGTAGAAGCCTGGAGTTTGAGATAGGAGACCTAGTATTCCTCAAGGTGACACCTATGAAAGGTGTCTTGAGTTTCGGACGTAAGAGCAAGTTAAGTTCTAAATTCATTGGACCATTCGAGATTCTAGAGCGAGTTAGTCCAGTAGCGTATAAGTTAGCCCTACCTCCAGCCCACTCAGGAGGACACGATGTATTTCATGTGTCGATGCTGAGTAAGTACATTATGGATCCTATCCACGAAATAGACTACAAACCACTCCAACTCAATAAAGATTTAAGCTACGAGGAAAAAACTTGTAAAAATCTTAGCTAGAGAAGTAAAAACCTTACGCAACAGGAATATTGCGTTCGTTAAGATACTGTGGCGGAATCACCATAATGTAGAAGCCACATAGGAGCATGAGGACGAAATAAGAGAAAAATATCCCGAGCTAGTACAAGAGTTTAAGACTTTCGAGGACGAAATTGTTTTTAGGGGTAGATAATGTAACGACCCGAAAAATAATAATAATAATAATAATAAGTAAATAATTAAATAATTAAAATAATAATTTTCCCTCAACTACCCTCCACCCCCTCCTCCTCTCCCAAACTATCTCTCCTCAACCACCTCATCAGTCAAAATCTCAATCTACAATATAGATGCATCCACTATCCTCCTCAACAAACTCACAAATGCAGAATACAATCTCTCCTCAACCAACTCACAAATCTAGAATACAGGATCCATTCGGTCGGTTCCTACAAAAAAAAAAAGAAAAAAAATACATCCAAAAAGATTTACAGGAGAAATTGTTGGAGAGAGAGATCTTGCTTTGTTTTTAACCTAAGTCATATTTCAGATTTTTATTTATCTTCAATTAGTAAGAATCAGATTTCTTTTCTTTGTTTAATTATTCAGAATTAGATCTCTTTTTTGATTGCCCAGTTATTTAGATTTTTAGTTATGATGTTAGGTTATAAGAAATAACCAAAATAAATGAGGCAAATATTTGTCAACAAAATAAAAAAAAAATACCGAATAGATAGAAAAAAGGGAAGATATGAAGTAAATACAGAATAGAAAGGAAAAGAGAAGAATCGGTAAATAAGAAAGGAAAGATGGAAAGAAGAAAAGAAAGATTTGTAAGGAATAATTAATTAGAATACACAGAAAAAATACAAACAGAAGACAAGAGAGAAGCCCGATACTATTAACAAACAAAAAAAATACATAGATAGCAGGTGAAATACATAAAAGAAGAAAAAAAATAAATAAAGAGGAGGAAAGAAAGAGAAAGGAAATAAAGAGAGAAGGAAGAGAAAAATAAAAGGGAAGAGTTGGGAGTAAGAATCGATAGAAATTGACCAATAATATGATTAAGTAAGAATCAATTAAAATTGTGTCAAGAATATGTCTCACACAAGAATGGGGAGAAAAATCTGAGTACAGAAATAATATCAGGAGACAAGAAAGTAGTCACTCAAAATAAAAAAATAGAAAATAAAATCTTAATATAAATAGAATATATATATATATATAATATGTATATATATTTAGATGTATATTATAACGTTCCAAGACTTTGTCCATGCAAAGTCTTTAATGCTCGCATGAAGTTTAGCACGTGAACCATTGTAAGAGTTAGAGAATTGAACATGAAATTGATGTCACGGATCTTATAGGTTGACTTGGATACAAAGGGAAAAATCAAACTTTCATTAAGGATAAATTGGTGACACCTGTATACGCTAATCAGGTAGGTGGTCTTACTATAGGATAGGCTAAAAAATTGTATGAGTTATGATGGTGTATAAACTATGTCGTACGATGCGGTATATGAGTTATGATGATGTGTGAGTTATGATGCTTGATGATATGCGTAATATATACATATTTCGATGATTGACGTACTTGGTATGTTTGATGCACTTTGTGACAATATGATGAGTATAATGATTGCGTGACGTTTACCTTAATATGATGATGTTTTCCATATTGAGCATGCTATATGATGATGAGTGCCATATTGCATCATGTCGTTAGATCGACATAGGACACAACCCTAAGAGCGTGAAAATGATATTAATATAAATATCCACGAGTATGTGTTAACTAGAGTAACATAGAGATGAGACTAGACGGTTGTGTCAGAAGAGACATTATGATGAATTTAGAGGGACCTCATGCATATTGTATGTTAATAAGCATAGGGCTACTTCCCCTAGAGATGATGAGTGCGGACGCGCACCATATGATGAGCGCGAATGCGCACAGGTGCGAATGCATACAGATGAGGGTGTTCATGAGGCGCATGACACTATGGGGTTTCGCTGACCTCCGAACGTCGCTATAGATTCGCTGTACCAAAGGGTCTAGGGGGTGTGCGAGCGCCCTGGGGATTCACACTCGTACGTGTGAGTCGTGTGTAGGGAAGTACTACACATCCAATTTATCCGAGACTGGAGGCCACCCCTAAGATGATTAGAGATAGGTCCCTAAATCATGATTGCATGTGTTTGCATTTGCATGGCCCCTATAGTGGGGCCACTTACTGAGTATTCTTTGAAATACTCAGGCCGTGTGCCACATCATTTTTCAGGTAAAGGTAAGGTGCACTTGTACGGAGGACGGCGACATCGCGAGCAAAGACCGTGGCACGTGCATAGGCTAGACTCATATTTAAATTATTAGTTTTAAGTTAGAATAGGTTGTTTTGCTTGTTTTAAATTATTTTGTATTTGTTTTTATTTTCTCTAAATTTTAGTATTTTGTATTTAAACACGTAAGACCATGGCTGTGTTTTCCAGATAAGAAGTTGTTTTAAACGTTTTTTTGAAGTTTACGTTATCAATTATGTTCATGTAAGAGTTATATTTTCGCATTATAGATGAACATGAGACGTTAGTAGTGACTCTGAGTATGTGGAAATTTAGGGTCGTTGCAGCATTACTTTGATATCTACAGGGATAACAGAGATAGAACCAAATGCAACAATACTCTGTGTTTGTGGATTGTGGGAGAGCAAGGTATGTGTATGTTCGACTATAAAACCAAATTGTATGATATTTGCCACACTTGGCAGCCAAAATAAATATAACTTATCAATATATCCATAAATTGGAAAGTTCAATTATAATATCATAATAAATGAATATTAATATGTTGTTTTTGTGTGTGTTTTTTTTCTTTCTTTAAAATTTGATATGGTGTATTAGTTTTAATGAATTATAATATTAAGATTTGTTAAGGTATTAATTTCTTCTACTTTGATCGAAATTATTTGAAGATGTCTCCATAATGTGGTAAAGATTGGCTGGGTTAAAGTCCTTCTCGTTCGCTTCATAAAGGTGTTCTTCCGTTATAATCTCCAACTTTGAGAATTGTTCCTGCTTGAGAAATGAGCATGCACCTGAATGCATAACTCTTAAAAAAAATACGGACAATAAGATGTTTTTCAAAAAGAGAAAACACATAGTAGGTATAACTTTCCTCATTTATGGAAAATCTCCAATACTTTTTTCAAACATAAACCAAACTCAAATACAAAAGGAAACTAACTTCCTCTTTTCAATAAGTTTTTAAATTTAAAAATTCATTAGCCTGTAATCTTTACCATACTGGCTCTCTTGTTTGGACCAAGAGGGTTTGTTTTTCAATCTTGGACCAAATCTAGAAGAGTATTCTTATTTTTATTTGCTTATCTATTTGTATTGAAGTATCAATTAAATTTATAGCCACCAAATCAAAATTTACGGCTCTCAAGTGGTCCGATGGGCCCAAACTCGCATGTTGCTTTCTTGTCTATCGTGTAGGTCACAACCTACTCTCTTAGATATGACATTCTCTCTGAGAGATCCCACATCGAATGGAGAGGTGAGCAAAATATTTTCATAAGGGTGTGAAAACCCCTAGTACATGCGTTTTAAAACCTTCATCAACCAAGCAATTATTTATTGTATTAGAAGTTCAGTGTTCATACCCTTTTAGTTCATAAACCAGGCAGTTCAGTGTTCATTTTCATACCAACTATTGTAATCAAATAACATCATCAATAGATCGGAAAACAACTTATTCAACCAAAACATACCTGATCAAAAGACTTGTTTACCATAAACAGTTATATTCCCTCATCAGAGGTCCAACAGTGATCAAATGTTTTGAGAAGTCATGGCACACAATGATATCCAAAATAAACCATATCCTTTTCACAGAGCGAATAATGTCATAGAGTACACATTTTCGAGACGCAATCTCTAAAATTTAAGATCAATAAGAACTTGCAGAAGCAGCAGAACGTCTTAGTAGCGATATTTGGTTGAATAGTCCTTAGGTGCAATGACTAAACCACGTCCTTTCCTTGCTCCACGATAGACTGTTTCAATGATATTGATGAACTCTTGCAGGGCCCAGTTTATCTTATTGTTGTTACCAGTACCAAGATCAATCATTATGTGCTTGTTCCTAAAGAAGAACATGACAGTGGAAGGATCATACAGCTCGTACATTGTGTTGAAATCAGGAACCTCAGTGATATCCACAAGGTATATTACTGCAAAGTTCTTGATCGTCTCAGCAACTGAGGCCAACACCTCATCCATCTATATTAAAAACATACCAATCAGATAATAACATCTCAAAATACTATAAAGATGATCACGTAGAGTAAACCAAACAAATTATGTGAAAAAATCTTCATGACTTTAAACATTCACGATGGAAGGATTGTGGCTCCGTGCAACAAAAACAAGGGGGAAAAGACTCTAAACAAATCATACACCAAAAAAGAGTCTAGATGGCCCATGAACTCAAACTTTGATCATCCCGCTAGCATGGAAAACCTCGTGTATACAGCAACAACAATCAAAGACTGGATTATTAAAGATCAATAGGAAAGTCGTTTAATAACTTCATTTCAGGTACATAATAGGACTGATGTGCTCAAATACATAGGAAAGCATGATTATAGAAAGCGAGGAGCACAATTGCAACAGAACAGATGATGATAACAGAGAAGATCGAGCAACCAATTCTAAAAATTGCACATAAAACTCAGAAAATTGGTCAATTGAGGCAAGCATACATACAAAAATCAAGCCCAGATTAGCAAAAAGTTTATCAAATTGCAACAAAAATAGCCCTAGAATTTATTTCTAGGGTTTCTTCTTCCTTACGACCATACTTATCAAAATCGAAGGTTGTTATCCTTCCATAGGTGTTTATGGATTTGTTGGTTGCTGAATTTCAAGCGAAGAGATCGACTTTCAAGCTTTAACTTCAAATCTGGTGGATGTGAAATGAACTCAATTGATTTTGACCCATACTAAACAAACGAGCTTTCATTTTGGGTCAAAATATTATTTAGATACATAACCTTTTGTAGATGAGGTATGAGCTACCCTACGCGTCATTTAAAAGTTACGGTATGAATTAAGATAACAAATTTCGATAGCTCGATTTCTTACTCCTAAAATGTTGAACTAAAATAATCAAAATATAGAGACCTATTAGACATTCTGTCAGAGTCTAAACGTATAATTTAAATGTCCAATAAGCTTTTAATCTTACATGATCTTACACACTCTTTATATGGAATGTTCATATGGAATGTTCTTACTACATCTTCCTTGTATAGAATTTAAATGTTAAATAAGAAATATTATCAAATTTATTTTAATTTATACATTTTTTTAATAGGATCTGTATTAGAAAATGAAAATTTTTTGGTAAAAATTTATTTGAAAAAAAAAAGTCCTTGTCTCCAATGTAATCTCCATGAGGAATCGTCCCTCTAATCTCCAAAAAAAACTAAATGGAGGATTTCGCACCTGATTTCCTCGATAATCATCTCTCTAATCCCCACTAAACCAAACCGATGATTTTTCAGGAATAAACAATAAAAACCGAAAAAGAGAAAGCTTTCCCAGGCATTTGTAGACATATGTTGGAATAATAAACAATAAATGAAAATGTTATCAAATGATTCATATTTAGTATTTATGGCAAGAATACGAATATTGAAACCTCTCAAAGATACAATCAACTTTTACCTTCCATTACACTATTTATATTTGACTATACATTACTTATTTATTAATTTCTTCCACTTTGATCGAAATTATTTGAAGATGTCTATTAAGAGGATATTTTGCCGTGAGAATTGGTTAGAATATATCTTAGATATTTAGAAAGTTGTTAGTATAGATTTGATTAACCGTATATTTTATTTATTTACCAGATTTAATTAGATATATATTTTTCTATTTTTAGGTATTAGTTGATAGTTTGTATCCTATTTAAACGTGGTAAACCTGAATGAAGATCATACTTTCGATCCCAATTCTATTTCTATTTCTCATTCTTAACATGGTATCAGAGCACCGATCTTGGTGTTCTTTAATATCAAAATTTCCTTTATGGCGGAATCAGCCAAATCTAGCTTCAAAATTTCGGATGTTGATTTAACACATCCGTACTATATTCATCACTCTGATCAGCCAGGATATTCACTTGTTCCAATCAAATTAAATGGAGCAAATTATCAATCCTGGAGGAAATCAGTTATGCATGCTCTTATTGCCAAGAAGAAAATTGGCTTCATTGATGGCACAATTGAGGAACCGTCCCAAGATGCAAATTCAACCGAATTCGAACTCTGGAATCAGTGCAACAGTATGATAATATCTTGGTTAACTCATTCCGTTGAAGCAGATATCGCTAAAGGCATTATTCACGCCAAGACAGCTCATCAAGTGTGGGTTGATCTTCACGATCAATTCTCACAAAAGAATGCTCCAGCAATTTTTCAAATACAAAACTCGATAGCAACGATGTCACAAGGAACCATGGCACTGTCAACATATTTCACCAAGCTCAAAGCACTCTGGGATGAACTGGAAGCGTACCGCACACCATTTACCTGTAATCAACGTCAAATACATATTGATCAACGCGAAGAAGACAAGTTGATGCAATTGCTCATGGGGCTCAATCAGTCTTATAAAACGGTGAGATCTAACATATTGATGACGTCTCCATTACCTAATGTGAGGCAAGCCTATTCATTACTTGTACAAGAAGAGATGCAGCGTCAGGTAACTTCCGAACCTACTGAGAAAATCTCGATTGCATCAGTAGTGCAAAAGAAAACAATATATTCAAAATTCGCCAAGGACAAAT